CCCCCGGGAAAGGTTTAAAGGTTTTAAAGGCTGGGGGGGGGGGGGGGTGAAGAGGCGCTGTGGGCAGTCCCCCGGCATCATCATAATACAGGGCTATTATTATCTGAAAGAGCAGGCAAGGGTGCAACCACGACCAGCAGCACCTTAGAGAGGAGGCTTTGCAGGACTGGTTGCACAGATGGAGGGAGCGTGACGGACTGAGTAGTAAGGTAAGTAACATTTCTTATCCTTCTACCCCTAGACTTAATGTGCAAGGGAGCACCATGGCAAGAATCGTTTTTTCTTCTTGTACCCGGAGTTGGGCTTGAAGTATACATGTGATTGTTTAGTAAACACTATGGCTTATTCACCCCACTAGAAAGGTGGTAGTGAATTACAAATGTATGATTCCAAGCCCATACTCTACCATGAAGCCTCACCCCTCTGCACAAAAAAAAGTTAAACACTCTAATATTTCATTGGATCTCCTTTAGCTTTTATCACAGGACGCAGTCACTGTGGCAATTTTTCGATACGCTTATGCAATGTCATAACATTTATTTGATAGCATGTTTCTTGTTATACCAGGTTGTTGTGGAACTACAAGTCCACAACAACCTGGCACTGGCACTGCAAGACTAAGGCATGACTCCCGGAGACAGCGGGATTATGGGACTTGTAGTTAAAGCACAGCTGGAGGGCCAGAGTTGCCCACCCTTGGGTTACACTCATACTTGGAAAGTAACATGAAAAATTGTATAATTGCATATACCATCCCTAAAACCTACACCACCACCACCCCTAACCTCAATCCGGGGTGCACTTTCCAAGGAAATCCACCCACACACATGCATCACCAAGTTTGGTTATTGTTAGCAGAAAATTTCATTTAAAACTAAACTTTCCATCTGCTACTGTGGCACATAAAACATGTGCAGAGCGAGCTTACAATCCCTCCTCCCTTACCACTCTGTAGTTGAGCCTCAAGTCTTACAGCCAGGTCCATACCTCCGTACCTCCTGGGTTTGGGGAAAAGATTTACAGGAGCCTGTGTAATGACTCTCTGATTGCAGGTACAATGCTCTGCAGGCTTCATTGTAAACAAGTAGTTACAGGAGAACTATGGGGTGAGGGAATTACACTCATCCCCAAAGTTAGAGCCGATGTGTGACATTATAACTGTCACATGTCGGCTCTATTGATCGGGAAATGAGCGAAAACAGACCGCCGATCCGCTCACTTCCCGATAGTCACCACTCTCTGCAGGGAGATGATCAGTCACCGCTCCCCGCAGGGATTGCTCCCTTCCCTCTCTGATCTTCCAGTGCTGACTGGAAGGACAGACGAGAGAGGGGGCGGGCACAGCTGGCTCTGCCTTCAGATAGGCAAAGCCCGCTGTCACTCACACAGCTGGGTGGATCTCAAAAGTATTGTTGGGATCTGTCCCGGCTGTGGCGCTCTCAGCATATAGCGGGCAATAGCCTGGTATATACTGAGCTTTGTGTCACTGGAAGATGTTAGTATATGTCCTCCCGTGACCCTAAAGAGAACTATGGGACAAAAAGGTTACCTCATAGTTCTTTTTTAATGAACAATTGCAAAGGGTAGATTTAGCCTACTCTGAATTTAGATCACTGTGTCACCCGAGCTTGATATGCCTGGAGCAGATAATGTCACATACAAATAGTTGAAACAACAATAAAGCAACTGAGTGATACCTACCAACATTTTACATCACTTACCTCTTTGTCAGTTAGCTTGGCATGTGGCGGATACAAGGCCTGTGGGAAAAAGGTAGAAAATGGTGCTTTAGTATAAGATGTATGCAACATGATGTAATGATGAATTAATAAATGACAGCAATAAAAAAAAAATGAACAACTACCTACATATTGAATGCTAAACAAAAGTTAAAACAAAACATATTAAAAACGTATCTAAACATTCATTCTGTGCAAACAGATGCAAAAATGAATGTCTGTAATATATATTCTTTCCAGTTCGAATGTATGTTATGTAATAATGCATTTTGTCCGCAAAATGGAGCCGAGAAGCTCCTCACACTGGTCTCATTTCGACCGAGTCAACTAGCTTTATGCTAATGCACCATAAATGTGTGTTGGGACAAAACTGCCATTCCTTACCACCCAAAAATACATCTACAATGTGTGTTCTGGATTTTATGAAATTATATTTATAATCAACTTTTGTCTTCATATATGAGAGACTATTTCTGACATTTTGCAATAAATCAGTGCTCAGTTTTCTTATATACATCTGGACATGTACACCGTTTGACTACAGCTGAGATGGAACCACATTAAAGTGCAACGGAAGCCAAAACCTTTTTGTAGCTTTGACTAGAGTGGAGAGGGATTAGAATACCTGTCAGGTCTTTATCGCCGTCTGTGTCCCTGTTAAGGAGATTCACCCTATTTGTCCTGGTGACCATTATCACTGAAAGTGAACGAAAATCCCAATTTTGGGTGAGGTAATCAACAGAACAAATATAGATGGGAAATCTTCCAATGGGGACACTAGTTCTGGTGACCCTGATGACTACCAGAGATTTCCCATCTCTATTTGTTCTCACACATGCGTTAAATAAAACATTATCTACAATAGCACAAAGTTTTTTGTTCCTAAAAGGAGAAAGGTCAATCCTGGACATGTGCCGCCATGCTCCTGCGCTATAGTACACGGCAATGCTCAGATCTGAATGCTTTGTACGTTAATTTTATGTGCATTAAAGCGAGACCGTGGCCAATGCAAAATAACAGATGGCTCTGACTAAACACGTGTGCATGGGAGGGCACATTGGTTTTGGTGTAAATGGGCCCCTACTATGTGCTAACAATCTGACATGGTGAATCTATTGCAATGCTGTGCAAAAGGCCATCTTCTGCTCTCAATGTTCAATGAGACAGCAAATGTACTGATAGCAGAATTCACAGTCTGCTGGCTCAGCACAGAGCAAAGGTCCCTCGAGAAATTCCAGCAACATCCCTATTTATTATCCCAATCATGAATCACACATCACCAGCTCTGGGATTACATAACGAGGTAGAGGTGAAAGTCTGCAGACAGGAATGACACGGCGTGATCACGCTTCATCTATGTACAGGGCAAACCAGGGTCGAAGTCTTCCACATAGGGAATGAGAATATGATCTACTACTGACATCAGCACAAATAGCACACAACATGCACCTTCTACAAAAGCCACCAATACAACTATAACCACATTGGGGGGGATTTATCAAAACTGGAGCAGAGAAAATATGGAGCAGATTTGCACTGCAGCCAATCAGCATCTCTCTCTCATTTTCAAATCTCACCTGAGCAAACTGTAGAGAGATGCTGATTGGTTGCCATGGGCAAATGCTCCAGATTCTCTCTGCTCCAGTTTTGATAAATTCCCCCAACTGTATTTTATATTATTCAATGGTAATAAAGAGTGAAAAGTTGTGTTTTTTTGTTTATTACAATGAGGGGAATTTATCAAATCTGGAGATTTGCACTGCAACCAATCAGCTTCTCTCATTTTCAAATCTTACCTGAGCAAACTGGAAAGAGATGCTGATTGGTTGCTATGGGCTCCAATTTTGATAAATTCCCCCCAATGTCTATATTTAAAGTTTTCAGATTGAAATTAAAAGGAACAGACCACAAAAAGCAAGGACATAAAAAGTACAATCTGAAATTACAAGTAGAACATTCATAAATCACAACTCATGAAGTTATTTCTAATGCTAAATTAAAGATGAACTCAAGGATAAGCAAATATTATCTAAATACAAGAAGCATGTGTATTCTAACTTGAATCTTGGTGAGCTTTGTGTATTTCTTCCAGATCTGTGCAGTAATCCAGTGTGAAACTGCTTCTGTGCAGGAGCTTCCTGTAATAAAGACCTGTCACTGCTGCTCTCTCCTTGTGCAGGGTGACTGGTCTTGTCTACACCCCCTCCTGTAGTTTTCTGCAGGCAGCCAGTAGTGGTGGACTCTGCTGGGTTCCTCCCACGACTCTGCTGGGTTCCTCCCACAGCTCGGCTGGGTTCCTCCCACAGCTCGGCTGGGTTCCTCCCACAGCTCGGCTGGGTTCCTCCCACAGCTCGGCTGAGTTCCTCCCACAGATCGGCTCTCTGCACAGGCTATGTACAGTAGAGAAAGAGGCATACTAAATAAGTTTTTCCGAACAGCTGAAATTGTAGGTTTAATATTACTTTAAAGTGACATTAAAGTAAAAAAATGTTTACCTTCCCCAATGTTAGGTAAAACACTTACCTTAAATGATGTCTCTTAATCCAATCTTCCTCTTCTTTCCTATCCTTTTCAGCCTTCTCTCCAGCGCTGCGGCGGGTCTCCGATCCAGCGCTGACTCCTCTGTCCTTGCTGGCACTTCCTGTCCCACGGTGTCTGCATGCGGGTGCACGCGTCCATAGACATACCTTGCGTCCCTCCTCGCCTCCCGGCCAAAAATCCGAACTGCGCATGCGCCCGTCCCAAGATGCTTTGCGGCCGCCCGAGCAGTTTCGTTTTTTCGGACGGGAGTGCGCTTTTATCTACTTGCTAGCAGTAGATATATGCAAAAAAAAAAGGGTTTAGAAACCCTTCAAGCATTACGAACTTGGTCACCAACCCACATCCATTCTGCCAATTTGGCTAAATGCATCATACTGCGCTCTACTCCCGTTACAAAGAACTATGCAATGCAGTAGAGCACAATATGTTTACACTGCTGCCCTACTTCTCCGTGTCTAAAGTCGGGTATAAACGGGTAGATTTTCAAACCAACGTTTGTATGCAAAATCCCGTTGAAACGTTCCATAATGCTATCAAAGACTTGGTGATTGTCTTCAAAATTTGATTTGATTTTGGTTTTCATTTAACTGCTGATTTTGGAATGAATTGGAATGAATGGAGCTTGCCAACACAAACCACTGTTGGAATTTTGTTCAAACAAGATAAAGTTTTCAGCATACTTCTTGGAATTTTTCACCACTGCGGTCAAAATCGATCATCAATTTCACAGCGACAATGATTGGAAGGTCGAACAAACTTTCCAAAATCGATTTTGTTCTTTTAAAAATTCTAACTGTGTACACCCTACTTAAGTTCTTAAATGTGAAAGATTAAAGGAAGAAAAAATAAAGACAGATTCTTGGACTTATTAGAACTTTATTTAAACTATAGCGAATGATGTTGCTGATGTACACATAGCTGAATTCACCGTCAGACCGGGAGTGTAACCAACAACCATGTCTGCGTGGCTAATGCTGGCCTAATATAAGGCATTCTTTTCTTGTACAATCCCTACAATCCCTTGCTTTAAGCAGAGAATGTGAAGAGCTGTAGAAGGTAGTCCTTCTTGTACAGTCCTGCAGTCACAGGCAGCCACGTCCTCTGTTGGATGATACAACGCTAATGTTTACCCTATTATCCAGGCTCACTGCTACGTCTCTTGTAAACATTGTGTTGAACAAGTGATAACTCACAGATTTCTGACACGGACCTACAAATCACTGTATCACCACTGTCACTAAACCTGGGAAATTTAAACTGAGCAGATGATACAAAATGGATAAACCGAGGTTACCTTCTGATGATTAGGGAAGCACCGATACCGTTTATTCGGTATCGAGTACCGATACCAGTGCTTCCGCTGGCATGGAGCCGGCTTCCCGGGCAATCAGGAAGCCAGGCAGCGGGTAATGACATGCCGTCTGGTTCCTGATTGCCCGGGAAGTCGCCTCCATGTTGTTTGGTCCGCTCGATTGTGATTAGCCGAGAAACCGGCTTCCCAGCCGATCAGGACAGTAATGACCCACCTCCCTGACTGGCCGGGAAGCTGGCTCAATGCCGATTGTCCAGGAAGCCGGCTTCCCAGCCAATCAGCAAGGAGCTGGCTGTTCAGCCGGCTCCATGCTGATTGGCCAGGAAGCCGGCTTCCCAGCCAACCAGCAAGGAGCCAACTTTCCAGCCAATCAGGAAGCTGGCAGGCGGGTCATTACTCGCATCCCGCCTTCCTGATTGCCCAGGAAGCCGGCTCCATTTTCCCCTACTGGGAAGTTCCAGTATCGGGGAAGGTATTGGAGCATTTTGGCCGAGTACGGGTACTCGCCCTAATACTCGGTATCGGTGCATCCCTACTGATGATTATTAGATGTCTTAGGATGCCCTCATCTATCCAAGTCATGGTATAGCTAGCAGTAGTAAGTCACATTCAAAAGGACTTGTTATGGAACATGAAATCACTCATCCAAGACTTTTGGGTCTCAGGAACAAATCACAACATTCCTAAATGTAGTATATCGGAACAGAAGTCTCTAACAAAGACCTGTATGTGGGTGGATTTGAATACTTGAAGTTCCTTCACGTTGCTGTAGGAGGTTCTGCCTTGGCACCAGGCAGTGAATAAGGTGTGCCCTCCTACCACTGCATTGATGATACTCAGACTTGGATAAGTGGTGAAAAATCTTCATTACAGAAGAAGTCCAGTTAAAAAGGTACTAACTACCGCTATTTAGATCAGTAGATAATAGATATAGATAAATAAGAAAACCTTGACTTTCCCCAACATAACTGGCTTTTCATCCTCAGCCCTACGGGCCTGTGAAGTTGTCTATCCCAATAAATGACTCATAGGCAGTGTCAGTAGGCAAGGAAAGACCAAACATTGCAGGGAAAATGCAGCTTGCATAGCTTCAACTAACTAAATATCTGAATTTACTGCCAATTTTGACCTCTGATGTTCGCAGAAGGTAACCTTATGCATTTTCACA